CCAAGCATACGGCACTGCAGTTCTTGTCCTGATTGCGCGCGTTTGTACAGGTTACAAAGGGGGCTTTGTAATCTCCTATATTAGCGGGTATTCGTTCCCGTAAGATTCAATCGGAGGCCTCGTGCCGAGGCCTGCCTTCGAATTCACACTCATATTTGGCTTCAATTTCTAAACTAAATGTATAGGGTGATGCAAACGCAGCTTAAATCAGCAGTAATATCTATTCTGCGGCGTTAAGTGCAATTTGCAATCGTGCCAGCTAATACCATACCATTGAGATTAGAGTGGTCACGCATAATTTAAAACAGAAACAACTTAAACTTTTGCTCGACCCCGTATCAAAGCAACTCATCATAGTGTGTTAAGCATTATAACTGTAGAAACCATTTCGAATAAACATTCACGCCCTAACAACGACTCCTAGCAAAAAATCATAATTCTTAAAAAAAGAGCAAAAAAATCAAATTTCTCAGAAAAACCTCTAGATCTTATGCGCTTGTCAAAGTGACTCGATTTATAGCAATAGTTCCAACGTTAACATTGTATAGTTTTTGCCAACCGTAAGACTTGCCTCCTACATGTTATAGTTTAGTTAGCAAATGTAGAGGAATTTTTCAATGACATCAACTATCCGACTGGATGGGAACAGTATAAGGTCGCATCGCAAATGAATGGAAATTTGGATCCTCCAGGAGTGAAGGTGGAGTTCTATAGATGAAAAACAAATAATAATGAGCTTATATATGCACCTTCAGGTTCATTGCATCTATGGTACAGGCATAGACACAGCTGAGCACTTCAGTTGGGCTAAAGGCTACTTCCCAGATTATCCCCCTGATATTGTCTATGGTGATGGTGATGGTACGGTAAATCGACGCTCAGCTGAAGTGTGCCTACGATGGAATGAATCGAATAATCATGGAAAACGGGTAAATTCAATTTTTTGACAAAATCGCAAAAAAGCATTCAAAAGTTTTTTTTTTTTTCAGGTAACAACCCATGAACTCCCAGGTGCTGAACATATGGCTATTATGTCGAGTCCCGTTGCCATTGAACTTGTGCGAAAAGCCATTTATGATTTATTGTGATCTTTCGTGTTGTTTATAAAAAAAACACTTGGGATTTTTTCTTTGGAGAAGAAGTTTGGGACGAACATTCTCTTAAGTTTGATATAGGCGGAGCTACGCCCGCTTAACGCACTAAGCAAAATAAAAGAGTTCCAGTAGTCTCTGTGCTTCTCGAATTTGGAGATTTGAAGTTATTTTGAGTATGAGTTAACTTATACGAAGTGAAATGTAAACATTTCTTGCCTTGAAGATTTGGGAAAAAAAATAAACGCTGTAGGCGTTGTATTTCATATGTAAAGTTCACTTTCCCTCATCTAAAAGATTCGCTTAACATCTTTATTTATGCGTATATGTTTGCGGTATGTGAATACACGAAGGCTCGCGTTAATTGGATTTCGATTATGAGAGATATTCAGCTGTCAGTGGGTAATTGCTTTTGCCGAAGCGTGCACCGATTTGCTCGAACCAGGTCTGGTTAAAATCGTTGCAAGATAAAAACATGCGAGTGTAAAGTTCTTACATGATGATATGTACATCTAAAGAAGAACTGATGCAACCACCCAGAAAACTAACTAACGAAATTTTACAATTTTTCAAATGTCCCAATAAATCTCGTATAGACAAGAAGACCCACATTTCTAACTATTTTTCATTACCTAATCAGCTGCGCATAAGGACTGCACAGGCCCAT